GCCTCCTCTCTTTTCAAATGAGAAATTATTCCAACTCGCGGAGAATAAAAACTTGATAAAAATTAGCTTTCACTCGCAAAACTCTTGGCTCGATCCTCTCCAACTATGTATGTATGTATGTCCGTACTATGTATATATATATATAATATATATATATGAGAACTCGGTGAAAGCACAGAAAATCCAGAAGATATGTAGGTATACAAGCACGGCTCAAAGTTAATGGAAGGATTTGTAAAGTTAACGGAACGGGCAAAACTTCACGGCCATTAGGCGTCTACGAAATCGTTGGCACGACGGCCAAGTTTTCACGACGAAGGTTTTCTACCGTTTTCCGGGGTTACGTTCTTGGCTCGCCTTACGTGTAGAACTCCATTTTAACGTTCGCGAAATTATTTATCTTAGAATGCGATATTAGTATATCCTCGACATTTTGGCGTCCACGAGCGAAGAAAGAAAAAGAAATGGGAAAAAAAGATATTCTTGTTCTATTCGAAATGATAAAGCATAAAAGAAAGATGCTGATAATGGTCCAATAGATCATCCTTTTATATAGAATCTTTGATATATGTAGTTTAAATTATACATATATGTATGTATGTACATATGTATTTACATATAAGAGATATTCGGATGTATCTTGTAAATTTTACTCATAATTCATTCAAACAGTTAATCATTATTTGTTGTAAAGATTAAGAGAAAAAAAGTATTAATTGGAATGTAATTGTTATGAATAATTAACGACGTTTAATGAGAGAAGCTAATTTTCTCTGTAATCGTTCGTTAGATAATTAACACAAAAGTGAGAATAAGGCAACAACGTTACTACAGACAATTTTCTCCTCTTTGGGACACTTGCCAATGATCTATGTATCTATATATGTATGTATGTATTTATATAGATATGTATTTAATTATTCATGCATGTATGTATATAAGTATAAGTTGATTAGATAAACTTTATGCGATACTAACGTCAAATTTTAAACAGCTTGAAACGATCACGGGATTGTACTTCTTTAGTTAAATTGTCGTAGAAAGGCCAACAGGGAACAAACGTTAGTCCAAACGATTTTACGAAATATTCCTCGAAACCAATTATCTTTTTTTTTACCGTTCAGACTGACGTTTTATTCTTTTAATTTATTTATTTACTATCCCCCTTCCTCTTTCTCCTCTTCTCTCTCTCTCTCTCTCTCTCTTTTTTTTCCTCTTTCCTTTTCACTGAATTTTCATAAAGGAACGTTCAACCTAACTGACGAGCTAATGATACCGCTATTATTATTACTATTATTATTATTATTATTATTATCATTATTATTATTACTTATTTTTATTGCTCGTTAGATATGATCGTTTACGTTAATTTGTTTGTTCGTTGATTTCTTTTCTTTTTTCTTCTTTTTTACTTTTCATTCAAACGACAAAATTCGTCTTTCCAACACTACAAATACGTATTATACACGTTATATCGATTCTTTTACACACACACACATATATATATATATATATATCGTATCATTCTCGTGGATGCAAAATAATCGATCATAAAAATTATTCGTATATGTTTAATTAATTATTTCTATGATAATTGACATTGAACGATCGAAACACTTAACGCGTTTATAGCGTTCGCCATGTAATCGTAAATCAATGTATATAATAAAACCTTGTTCTTTTTTTTTTTTTCTTTCTTTCCGACGTAGCGAGATAAAATCTTAAAAAAAAGAAAAAAAAAAAGAGAGAAAAGAAAAAAGATGAAATAAAAAGAAGGGGGAAAAAAAAGAAAAAAAAAGAAAAGAGAGAGAGAGAGAGAGAGAGAAAGAAACAAGGACTTACCTCCTATCGGGAAGTAGAAAGATCTTGGCGTATGGATTCCTCAGTTGTCCATCGAGACGTGGTGTAAGATTAGATGCATAAACGACGGTGACGATTAATTGTAGTGCAATTGGATCGAAGGAAAGCTTCACTTGAAGACTACCACCGACATTTGCATTTCCTGTTGGTGCCGCTCTACGGGCATGCCTTATACGTCCTTGACCGTGTAGATCCGGTGAGCCAGGTGACGTCACTAAAACCGAGGGTTTCTCGCGTCTCGCGTCGTACAATTCTGCAAGTTACATCGTACGGTGCCGGCAACGGCCTTAATTCACACATTTACATCAAAAAGATATAAACATAGACGACGATCATAGACGATCGGTTTAAGGGACAGTACAAGAACAAAGAGACTTTGTGAAAGGGGTTGAGAGATTGATCGCGGAAGTTGGGTGAAGGTGGGGATGATAAAGTGTAGGTGAGTGGGTGGCTGGGTGAATGATGGAAAAGGGGGAGGGGGATTGTAGAGCGAGTGACCAATAGAGAATGACACAATAATATTTTTCTTATCTTTTTCTTTTCCTGTCTCTTTTTATCTAGTAAATATATTAATATATATGTATATATATATATAAATGTACAGAGAGAAAAAAAGAGATAGGTATAGATATAGATATAGATATGTATTAGTGTATATCTATATATCGTATAAAAGTACATAAAGTATAAATTTGAAAATGATCGAATGCAGCGAATACGATTGAATTCATTAATATTTCGACTATGATATTTCATGTCGATAATGTAACTAATGGTATATCTATAAAGAAAATATTTGTATTGAGTGTACGTATTTACGTATAAATGTATATATATATATATATATATATATATAAATATATATATATATATATGTACATATGTGTATGTAAGTTCGAAGAGATATGTTAATTTATTATCGATAGAGTCCAGGTTACGTGGTATATAGATGAAGTCAAAGAGAAAGAAAGAGAGAGAGAGAAAGAGAGAGAGAGAGAGAGAGAGAGAAAGAGAGAGAGAAAGCGAGTGAGTAAATGAGTGAGTGAGTGAGTGAGTGAGTGAGTATAACGCGACGAACTCACGCGACGATAATAATTTGTACCCTTTAGAACGTTCGATCGTATCGCTCGTAATTTAATTAAAAGACTCTTCCATGCGAATACGGAAGAGATAGGACAACGGCAACGAGATGATCCACACGAGAAGAGATTATATTTCGCTCATAAACCGAAACACCTATCTCTCTCTCTCCCTCTCTCTCTCTCTCTCTCTCTCTCTCTTTCTCTGTCTCTCTCTTGTCTCTCAGTCTCTCTTCCTCTCGCTCTCTTTCTGATACGTTTCAATAAAGCTAATCCACGACGCGTTCTCATTATCGAATCACTGCAAGGAAATTTGATGAGATTAATGAAACATCGTATCACGCATCGTAGGAGAATCGTATTGTCCTTTTTTACCTAAGTATCAACGACAGAGGGGGTTGGTGGGATGGAACACGACGAAAATTTTAAGCTCGATCCAAAATTTTTTATATGGGAAAATGTCAATTATTACAACAGCGGACTAATTCTTTGTATATATATATATATATATATATATATATATATATATATATATATACGTATTTGTTGGATTATTGAAAAAAAAGAAAAAAGAAAACAATAATAATAAAAGCGATCAAAAGCACGTCCTGTCGGCAATCTCTTACTAATAATAATAATAATAATAATAATAATAATAATAATAATAATAATAATAATAATAATAACAATAACAACAACATGATGATAATACTATCGTATTAATGAAAGAGATCAACCCTTACGAACATATATAATATGTATATATATATATATATATATGAAAAACTGGGAACGGAGAGAAATAGATTTAAGTTACAAAAAAGATACATTCCTCGGGTCTCTATATATTGATGATATGTATGTATAATACTCAGATATATAAGATATAAGTACTTATATAAATCAGTGGATAAAGATAAGCACGTCATGACAAAAATATTACTGTATATAATCATGCATATATATACATACATATATATATATATATATATATATATATATATATGTATCGCTATACATATGGATAAATAGATAGATATACATATAATTTATAATGTTGTTGCTCCCATAAGACTAAGTCCTTGTTAAAAGGACAGGTGTACACTTCAGCGAGGGTGGTCGTAAAATAGAGGCCCAAGGGACTTGGGCGGGGCAGAGGGCAGGGGGCGAGGGAGCGTGGGTAGAAATATAGGAAGAGGTGCATCAGCACTACGATCTACGCTCTACAATAAGACACATCGATAATAATACACAAATGCGGAAATTGAGCTATACAATTTTTTCTTATTTTTCCTTTGTTTTTTTTTTGTTTTTATTTTTTCTTGTTTTTTTTTTTTTTTTTTTTTTTTTCATTTTCATCGAATTCGATCGATCCAATTTCAGGGGACAGAAACGAAAATGAAGAAAAGGGCTGAGGAAGAAAAAGGCTGGAGGCGGGTGCAGAGGGAGTGTTTTGCCATAAGTAATAAAAAAAAAAGAAAAAGAAAAAAAAAAAGAGAAAGACAGAAGAAATGAGGTACACTCAGCAAAAAATGTGGAGACAACGGGCGGGCTTTAGAGGGGGTTGGTTGTTAAAAGAAATTTAAAGCCTACCCCATAGGATGCATTTCTTAAGACCTGGAATGCGAAAAATCATATAATCTGTGATAATATAGCGCCGTGTCCAATATAAGCTTAAATACACTTACAATCTATTGTTAAAAGATAAAAGGAAAAATAAATAAATAAATAAACAAGAAGAAAAATATTTCTCTATCTATGTTTCGTATATATGTATATATATATATATATATATATATATATATATATATACATACTACACACATACGTATGTATGTATGTAAATAACTATATATGAACTCGACATCGAACTATCGCAACGTTACTTTTCTACTTTATTCTCATGTCACGACTACGACACGCGCCATTATTAATCTCTTAATAACGCAGACAAATATTTATCTCTTGAGCGTAACAACGTTTAATATTTATTAAATTAATTTTATCTTCTTTCGTGGTCGTCGAGAACGTTAGAGAGAGAGAAATAGAGAGAGAGAGAGAGAGAGAGAGAAAAGAAAAAAGAAAAAAAGAGAAAGAAAAAGAGAAGATAAAAAAAGAAATATTCTTTCGAACGTTCTCGAGTAGCTCGTCAAAGGGGACGTGGACGTGAGATTGTTGCTACAACAAAAAAGAAAAAAAGAAAAAAGAGAAGAAAAAAAAAGAAAAAAAAAATTAAAAAAGAAGAACAAAGAAAAAAAGGAACAGAAAAAATATATCTACTCCAATACTTTAATAATAAAACGAGAGATGAGAGAAAAACATTACGATCTGTCTTTCTCCTCGATATCCAAATCTCTGATATCTATCGGAGTCCGATCAAAAGTCATTTAATCTGTTAATCGAAATAATTTGGATGTTTAGAAATATCGATCGATTGATTTCAATTCGTAATTATTAGAAATCATTTTTGAAATTGATCGAATTGAACTAAAACCGATCGATCGATATATATATATATATAGAATTGAATAAACTCATCATAGAGAGACAAAAAGACATTCTCGTAAAAATACGATATTATTTGTAATTCATAGTCACCTTTGTGATGGGGTTGTTGAGAACCGGAAATGGATTCTTGCTTTTGTCTCCATTGTGGTTGTACAGCAATTCGCCTGGACGGTACGGACATCGACGAACCCGGTGGTCCTTGTTGTTGTTGTTGTTGTTGTTGCTGTTGTTGTTGATGTTGCTGTTGTTGCGCTACCATCGTCGTCGTTGTCGTCATTGTCGTAGTACTCGGTGCTAATGCGGCCGATAAATTTCGCGAAACTATCAATTCAACTTTGGATTCCTGCCTCGATTCCGCGATAATCTCGTATACATCCCTAAAGCTTTTATCCTGAAGAGATCTACCGTTCCATTTGAGTACCTCGTCGCCTGTAACAATCAAGAGATACCCGATCTCGTAATATCGTTTTTCTATCCCAATCGCTTTCTAGTCGATTGATATTATTTATTGAATTTATATATAATAAAAGACAATTTATTTTCAATAAAACGTTATTTATATTTATATATCAATATTTATTTGAGATTTTTCAATCAAAATGAATCATAAGAATAACATACATATACATATACATATACGTATATATATATATATATATATATATATATATATATATATGTATATTGAAGTAAAAAATTTATATATTTATTTATTATAAAATTTCATTTCTCTATATTGAAATACATAATAAATATATATTTAAATTATTATAAAATAAATAAATAAATAAATATATATATATATATGTATATAGTTATTTATTTATTTTTATTTTATTATTATTTATTTATTATTATATTATAAATACAAATCTATATATTCCTTTGAATAAACAATATATTAATCTACATACATATATTTATTAATGTTATAAAAATAAATATACATATAAATATTGAAATATAGATATTGAAAAGAAATGTTCCTTTCTTTTTTTTTCAAAATGGACAGAATAAGATAATAGTTCATTCTTTTTCTCACCTGGTCTCAATTGACCTTCTATGTCAGCTGTACTACCCTTCTTGACTTTTTCGATAAGGGCTCCCATAGAACCATCCTCTAAGAGTATACCACCGACGACCTTGAGACCGAGTATACTTGTACTACTCCCAGAACCCAAGGATTTTCTTAAGACCATGTGTCCGATTAACTTCTGACCATCTCTGCTGACTTGCCAGGAGAAAGGATGCTAGACAACGCGTACAATTGTTTTGTTTTTCTATCTAATCTTTGCTTTTGTTATTGTTGTTGTTGTTGTTGTTCTTGTTGTTGTTCTTGTCTTTTTTCTCTTTTTTTGTTTTTTTTTTCTTTTTTCATACTATGACGTCACGTGTATGACGTTACTAGAATTTATTCTTAACGTTTACATTCATTCGGAATAATAAATATTTATTTGTCCTTGAGATCATTCTCTCTCTCTCTCTTTTTTTTTCTTCTACGTTTTTGTCCTTTCTTTTGTCTTTTTTTTTTTTTTTTATTAAATTCTAGGAACGAACACGTTAAACGTCTTTATTTAATTGTTTTGTTATAATTAAAAACGATCGTGAGTATAATTAACGTGTTATGTCATATTGAGAGAAACGTCCTGTTATATTTTACATATATAAATATATATATATGTAATATTTATATGTATATAGGTATATATATATATATATATATATACAGGGCGAGCCGATAATTACTAAGTAATTTTAAAAATCAATCTTTGTCTTTCTCGAGTCTTTCTGGACTAATTGTTTCCTTCTTATTCTTTTTCTCTCCTTTTTTTTTCAGATCATTAAAACGTGGATCATTTTTTTTAATATTACGTATCTCAATAGATATGCATAATTTGTCTTAAGCAAGACGTTTCTCCTACACACTTTTAAAAGCTGTAAGGTTTTGATGGTGGAAAGTAGTTCATGTGTCATATATATATATATATTTTAAATATATATATATATATATATATATATATATATATACATAAATGCACCAATTAAAGCACTTCATGCTCAACGAAAATACATCATTCGTATTAATTGTTAAAATAGCATTACATGCTTCCGTATAAAAACAAAATATTTTATTGCTCTATAAGCAAACGAACGAACGAACAAACAAACGAAAAAAGAAAAGAAAAGAAAAAAGAAAAAAAAAAAAAAAGAAAAAGGAAATAAGATACATAGATCGAAAGCAAAGCGAGGAGCATTTGAAAAAATTTTTTTGTATTCATTCCCAAAACACGATGCTGAACGATTATATTATATTATAATGATGATCTACATAGATAAAAACACACACATACCTACTTATAAATGATGAAAATATCGTTGATATAATCGTGTTAGGATAAAAGTATATAAACAGTGTGTACGAACGATGATTTTTTTTTATGCGTAGTTCGATCGTGTGATATGTATATATACGTATGTATTATAGTAATAAGGAAAAGAAAAAAAAAAAAAAAAAAAAAAAAAGAAAAAGAAAGAATGAAAAGGACGAAGAAAGGAAAAAATATCGTCTTTCGAAGAAAAGAAACAAAAAACAAAAAAATAAAAGTAGAAAAATAATAAAATGAATGAATAAAAGAAAAAAAAAAAAAAAAAAAAAAGAACAAGAAGAAGGATTTTTGAATGAAAGCAAATCGTATGCTTTTCGTTTCGCTAAAAGGATAAACGATTGAATTCGATTATTACGCTGGATTTAAATTGATCAAATGTGTTACGTCTTTCTTTGATCGGATTTATTAATACGTATATTATTAATATCAATTTATTAATATCCATTAATGTTAGTGAATATTGTTCTAATTTTTTTTCTCTCTTTCCTTTTTTTAAATAAAACATTCGTATAAAATGGACAAAAAAGGACGAAGTGAGAGGAAACGAAACGACGATTTGATCGATGCGATCGATTCGAGAGAAATAAGAGAATAATAGAATCTGTAATATCTTCTAATCATAGTGAATGTGTATTATATATTGAAGAAAAATTAGAAAGATGGAGAAAGAGAGAGAATGAGAGAGAGAGAGAGAGAGAGAGAGAGGATTTTTTCAGATGAAAAAACGAAGAAAAAGTAAGGAACATTTTCAAAGACGCCGATTGAATCGTCCAATTAATACAAATTGATATGTGTATGTCTATTATATAAAATAGATATATAACAACACATATCAAGAAAGTTCTTGAAAGGGTTGACGAACCGTGAAAGAAGAGTCGAGATAGACACTGAGCTTTAATCTTGTAGAAAAGCTCGGGTGCAGTTGGGTGGCGTAAATAGTACACATCAAGTATATAGATAGATAGTCATACATACATACATACATACATACATACATACATACATACATACATACATACATACATACATACATGCCATATACAAACGTACGTAAGTAAATGTAAGTATAGATGTAGTAACCAATGTAGATCTACGTGGCAATACCGTTTGGCATCAGAACGAATATGAATATATATATATATATATATATATATATATATATATATATATATATATAAGTTCTCGAGACGGAAGCACTAGATTGTACCTTTCTGTTTCTCTTTTTCTTTCTTTCTTTCTTTTTTTTGTTCTTCTTCATTCCTTTACTTTTATGAAAAAGACCAGCGACCTTTGAACTCTCGATCGTTTAACTTGACGTATAAGAACTCTCACAAGATTTCGATTCCTCTTCTTCGTTCTTTCGATTCGATTAAATCTTTCTCTCTTTCTCTTTCTTTCTGTCTTTCTTTCTTTCTTTCTTTCTTTCTCTCTCTCTCCATTTCTATTTCACTTCATCGTTGAGTTCGAAACTCACGGCGGAACTCGCGATATCGAAAGCAACGACAGCTAACGACCTTTCCTTTCCTACGCTTTCGAAATATCCTTTGGCCGCGTTCCAATTCGATTAATTATGAAACAGGAACGCTTCTCGAGGGAACCCCGGCACCCTCTCGACAGTTTTAATTGGACATTCGGAATCACGGAGCGCCAATGAAGTTACACCACGCGCCACGCCGTGAGACTTCTTCAAATCGTTTTTCGTTTATAGAAATCAAGGATAGAAATGAGAAAATAAAAAGAGAGATAGATAGAAAGAGAGAGAAAGAGAGAGAGAGAGAGAGAGAGAAGAATGATAGTAGATAATTTTTTTCTATTCTTTTTTTTTTTTTTTTTTTTTTTTTATTTATAATAATACCAATGATATCACGTAAGAGTTCGATGATTTAAAATATATGTTAGAAAAATGATATTTCATCTCTTTTCTCTCTCTCTCTCTCTCTCTCTCTCTAGCCATCTATCTATCTATCTATCTCTTTCTCTTTCTCCCTTTCCTTCATTCTCTCTCTCTCTCTCTCTTTTTCTCTTTTTAGAGAAAATAAGAGAGAAAGAGGAATGATTGGATATGTTGTTCCGCCGGGAAAAAAAAATGACCTCAAATCTCTTACTACAATTTTTCACAAATTACGAATTACATATCAACGTATATTGATAATCAACAATTTATGT